CTGCGGACAGGAGCGGGACAAAACGCTTAGTTTGCTGGTGGGCTTTACACATACAAGAAATATCAATGCTACATTATGATCAATATCACCTTCACTGAGAAAAATAAAAGTGTGTTTTTCATTATAAATCAGCTGTTATTCTTTTTAAAAACTTATATCCAAAATCATTATAAACGGTCATACAGCTTTTTGGAATGATACTCTTCAAATCTTCTCTTATGCTTATAAACACGAATGTGGCATAAATTGAAAGTTTAGAATCTGCACTTTCCACAGAATTAAAAAAAAAAAAAAATCATGAAATGATCACAATATACATTAATGGGTGACCGAACGTTCTCCTAATTCAGCGGTCCATGATTGCTTGGCAACAATACCATACTCTAAAGGAACTACATTTCTTTGGCGGAGTACTTACTGAGATTTTATCAAAAAATCTTAAAAAAGGAAATAATGTGTATTCAGAGAAGGATGTTGCATTCAGATCTTTACTGAAGCATGTTGTTAAACTCGTGCTCACACAATTATTTACACTGGGAGTCATTATTTGTTTGATTAGGGAAGCAAAATATGTCTAAAATACCCAGACATCCCTTGTAATTAGTTAATTTAGCGACTTTAAAGCATGCCCAGTGGTGACACATTTAGATGTGTACATACAACTTGTATAATCTCTATTGAAAGCGTTGACAAATAGAAGGGAGCAGCTGCACACGAGCCTAAGGTCATGTCCAACTTTTTGACATGTGGTGTGTGTTGTGGACCTACTGCAGTGGAATCAGTCAGGCCTTTAGGGGAATGAACACACATATATATCACACACATACTCAGCCCGGCTTACCAGTTAAAGAGAATGTGGTTGGCTGCAAGTTCTCTGGTTGTGAATTGTCACTAAAATTGCTAACTTTTTAAACCTGACATTAGACACACACACACACACACACACACACACACACACACACACACACAGATTTGAGAGTGTTCTATAACTGTGGCATTAAACATTGTAGTAGTGTCCATTCTGTCCAATCAATAAGTGTGTTTCAGCACACCTGAGCTTACAGATCAAACTACAAATGTTAAACTCTGCCATGTCAGCTGTGTTCTGCACCACAGGTCAAGCACACAGGTGACACCCTCTGCTTACAAACCTGCTGGGTTTAGCAGTATTTGCAGTATTTGTAATTTAGGAAGGTAGTGTGTCGTGTACTGAATGCCTGTTTTTTTTATGTTTTTTTTTTTACTTTTGAGAACTGTAGAGCGTAAATGAAGTTATAAACGTTAACCCTCATAGATCCTGCACTACTTTGCTGTAGAGGCTAGAATTTCTAAACTTTCATAGCACATTATGTAGGGAATACGGAGCCGTTTGGGATCCAGTCTGGGTTTGACGCTACTTCTGACTGAAACACAGACATTTGAAGCGTGTAAGACATTCAAGTGACATTTTTTGCATTTTATGCTGCCATTTTACAGTTAATCATACAGTAAGTACTTTAATTCAAGCCTGTGATATTAATGATGGACTTGTTTAGGTTGTTGGCTCTTTTAGCCTATTAAGAACATGAGTTGTTGGGTCTTACTTCATCAATATACTCAGTGGTCCACGTGAGCAGCATGAGAATCAAAGATCATTCCATTAACAGCACAAGGGTTTTTTTTCGTGCTGTGGCATAGTTAAGATACAATTCAGTTGTTGTGAGGCGGTCATAGGTGTGCGTATTACAATGGCTCCAAACACGGCTCAGCCAATCAGATTTTAGGACCGGAACTACCCGTTTTATAATTTCATCAAGCTGATGCCAACGCAACATCACTGGTTAGCTCAACACACTTGAATGAGAACTGTCAATTCTGTTACATCAGCTAATAGATGGGTGCTTTGGCTAGCTGAGTGATGGGGGGAAAGAGGACCATCTACCTGCCCAGAGAGAGCAAGGCCAATTATGGTCTCTTGGACTCCCAGCCATGGATGGCTGTGCCACCACCAGGGAGCAAACTCATGACGGTAGGGCCAACGCTTAGACAGCTGCACCACTCTGGGGTCTCGCACCATCATATTCTGAATTACAGCAGGGTGCATAAGAGGCAGTGGGGCTGCAGAGTCTCGATCACCTCGCTTAAAAGAACTGAGCAGAAAGTGCATCTAATATGAACAGAATCTATACTGTGGGAAACGAGTGTCAGTACTGCTTCAAATATTCAGAATCGATATGTACCTGTATATCAAATATATACACAATTTTCTCCTTGTGTCTATATATTTGGACATACTGGAGCAGTCAATACATGCTTGGTGTCCAAAGTTTGCACTGGATCTATGAGGCTAATTAATAAGTTTCATAAGTTTAAACACACTTGCATCAAACCGTGCTGAGTTGTTCAGTAATCCCAAACAGACTTGCTTATGTGATTTCTGACACTGTATGACAGTGAAATAAATTCAGTCTCCTCTACTTTTTTTTTTTTAGCTGTGCTTTAACTTTTGTCTGTTTGTGACACTTTAATGGCAAAGTGAAAAGTGTGGTCTTACTGTGGTCAATGTAAAAGGTTCTTCCATCTGCGTGCACTCGCTCCTCCCACCCAGGCTGGAGAGAAAGAGAGAGAGAGAAAAAAATAGAGAGGGAGATGAACGGTTAGAGAGATGACTAAGCCAACACACCAGCAGCAGTATGTAACACACCCACACAGTCACAGCAACCACCCACAGCACACCACACGCCCGGAGATCCAGACTGAGGCTGCCTCCGGTTGGGGGGGAGGGGGAGTGAACGAGAGAAAGAGAGAGAGAGAGAGAGAGAGAGAGAGAGAGAGAGAGAGAGAGAGAGAGACTGATGAGAACATAATGAGAAAGAAAATGATGAGAATAAAATAAGAAAAAGAAATACATTTTAACAGTGATGATGATGATGATGATGATGATGGTGATGAGTCCCAATGATGACTCATTGGGTTCCACAGTCATGCATGACACACACATACGCACTGCAATGAGCATTCATTGTCGCCAGTGATGATTATGGAATTACATTAATGCATGATTTACATAAAGGGGCATTCCAGCCTCAAACTAGCACTTATGTTATTTGTCACGTCACGTTATATTCTTTAGTGCAGCACTGCATCGCTCAGCCTCCTCGGTTTGACAGAATCCACAATTTTATATTCATTTTTGTGTTTCTGTCCATCAGTGGTCTCTTAGCAGAGTTCCCAGCATGCAGTCATACAACCGTTACAAATCCCCCGACATCAATAAAGAAATCCTGACCGCTAACGTAGCCACCAATGAGGCTAGTAAATACAGACGTGAAATTCAGCTTCCTTTCAATAACGTCAGCTGTCTGGCTTCCTTCTGTATTTTCACTATCATCTCTTGTCTCCTGTAAAATTTGCACTGGATCCCACCACAAAGACTTCAGCTGACGGCTGACACACTATTAAAAAGCGCCTGAGCAAATAGGGATCCAAAATCTCTGTAGCAGGAGCTGGAGGTAGTCTGTAAAAGTGTAAACATACTGTCTCGCAAGTGTCCGTGTTTCAGCTAAACCCAGTACATGACAGTGAAAGTAATCCACTGTTATCAGCGCTGGCTGAGTAATAGGTGTGATACATATAAAGCTGGGTCATATTAATAATTATATGACAAAAAGTAAAAAGTCCAGAAGTGTGTTTACACGCACTTAATAATCCGATAACTGCAGAAAATCAGATTTTGTCTCTGCGTTTACATGCACTTCAGTAATCAGATAATATGAAAACTCCAGGTCTACATGAGTCAGACAGTAATCAGATTTCTGCTTTGCAACCAGCCAATAAACTCACAGAAGAAGACGTGACGTAAACATAACGTAAACTCGAACTTCATGCTGCGGCTTTTTATATAATACGAGCCACTTTACCTGAAAATATGAACATACATCATCTAGAAGATGAAGAATACTTAAATCCTTCATTTCATCAAGCATGTGTTTGGTTTCAGCGTTGCTCCAAAAAGTGTTTTGCTGCGTCTCGCGGCAACACTGCTCACTTATTTCCAGTACTGCGGTCTGTTTCGCACATGCGCAGACTGAGAAATCCGAAAGAAATCAGAGTAAGAGTTTACACGCACTGAGAAATCTGATTACTGAGCTAAAATCCAGCTCTCTTTATCGGATTTCTAGATCAGAGTATGGGGTGTTTACATGACCATTTGAATAATCTGATAAGTGCAGAAATCCAATTATGATCGGATTATTGGGTGCATGTAAACTCACTCCATGAGTATCACTTGCTTTATTTAATGTGTGTGTTATCAGCGCACATTTACAGCTTTTGTGTATCTGTGTTTATTCATAACAATATTAAGTATTTTTTTCCTTTTGAACACGATATTAAAATAGTATTCGTTTAAAAACACAGACAGTCTAGTAGTATAAACAGTTAAAATTAGGGCTGAGCAATTTGGGAAAAATATCTAACTGCAAATTTTGCAACCAATATAATGACTGTGATATAAATTTGTAGATTTTTTTAATATAAATAAAGGTCCAGTGGGTCTCTTTACCTTAAGTGTGCACCTTAAAATGTTTTCAGGGAAACGCTGAAGTGAAAAAAAGATCCATTTCTAATGTAAAATTTTAATAAATGTCTAAGAAAGTGTATATTAGCTCAAACAAGCTGGAGAGAGAAACCAGGCAAACAACACACACACTGTGCATACATGAGTGTATAGATACACACATGCAGGAGTGTGACTGTACAATATATATACACACTTGTGTTTTTTTTCCTGACAATATTTCTGACACTATTAGTACAGAGCATTCCTTCCATTGCTATGACAACAATTGTTAATTACACTGCATGCCAGTAAAGTCATTTGAAAAGAAAGAAAGAAAGAAAGAAAGAAAGAAAGAGAGAGAGAGAGAGAGAGAGAGAGAGAGAGAGAGAGAGAGAGAGAGAGAGAGAGAAAGAAAGAAAGAAAGAAAGAAAGAAAGAAAGAAAAGCAAAAAAATCAACAACAGCAGAGTGTAAGGGCAAATAAAGGGGAAGGTGGGGAAAATGGACAGATGTAGAGAGAGAGAGAGTCAGAAGGCAGGAAGAAAAGAGAAAGACAGCATAAAAGAATGAAAGATGTGGTAAGGAGGAGAGAAAAGATGAAGCACCAATACAGCACTTTGGCTTTAGTGCAGACGTCTTAGACCAGCCAAGAAAACTGTCTAAACTGTTTATCAGGGCAGTAAGTGGGCTTTTACTTAACACCACAAACATAAGAATGAATACAAGTAAACATTATTATGATAAAAAGCAATCAGAATATATTGTTTTTGGTAAAGCAGCTCACAGCTACTGCATGGATTTCTTCAATTCCATCAGCAGAAATTATTTAACTTTTGATAAAACTGATTTAACATGGTTTCCATGGTGAAGGACTGAATTGGGAAATTGGGAAAAATCCCATTCAAACTAATCAGATAATGACAAAATGACAAAAAGTGAATATTCATTTATTTTGTATGCATGTGATGTGAAAGCACACACTGTTAGTGCATTTTGTGTGTGTGTGTGTGTGTGTGTGTGTGTGTGTGTGTGTGTGTGTGTGTGTGTGCGCGCTTGAGCTAATGTTAGCATGGTGGCAAATTTCTCATTGTTGTTTCCAGCCTGTCTGGTTTTAATTAGCTCAGCATTTTAAACTGGAAACTCAACGTCACACAGCACTGCTACAATTTCTCATTAGACTGAATGGAATTTTTGCCAGCTTGTCCAAATGAACAAAAGGAGACATAGGGGGAAAAACATAGTTTAAGCAGGGACAGTTCAGCTGTTGTTAATACATACAGATAAACATTTTTTATGTACTGTATGAATGTCTGCATTTATTATGTTAGTGTTTTTCAAGGCAAATACTGTCCAGATAAACAGCTTTAAAGAATTTTATCAGATGGCCTTGGACTTTTGGACAGTACTGTAGATAAAGAGGGCTGGTAGAGAGAGACGATTGTCCATGACATTAGGGGAGGAAGAGGAAGAAGAGGGGGAGGAAGAATATGAGGAAAGTCCAGCAGGCAGGCAGGTAAACGGGCAGACAGAGAGAGGACCGACCTCCTCTGGAAGATTCTGCCAGCAAAACACGGCACGTTTCCCCCAACGCCATGCCAAAGAGAGCAAAGAGAAGATCACACACACGCACGCACACACACACACACACAGAAACACACACACAAGCAGCCTTTTAAAAAAGCACCGAGTGAACACGACTGCCCAAACGCCTGGAATCAGCACTTCAATAATATAAGAATAAACTGGACAGGAGCATAAAATGATCCTAATGTTAGTCCTGCAGAACTGGAAATGATAACATTATCATCCAAAATTAAACCATAATAAACTTAACATTCAGTGTAAAGTTAGAATACAATTAATATTCTGAATTACACCTGAATTATACAAACATAAAATCTGTATGTATGTATATGTGTATGTATATATTTACATATATATATATATATATATTTAAAAAATAAACCTAAAATGATCTTGTAAGATTTTACAATGAAATTAATATAGTGAACTTACAATAAAATAATATCCAAAATAAACAAAATTAATGTTTAGAAATAATAGAATAAGTCTAATAAGAGAAAAATATAAAACACTACAAACTTGATCTTGTTACGATTTTATAATAAAACTAATATTCATAAGGATCTTATAATATAATAATATGCAAAATAAAGTTATAATATAAAAATACAATAAAATGTATAACAAGAATTATATTATAATAAAATTAAGACGCAGAATAGAATACTAATAAATTTAGAATACTAATAAATTTAAATCCAGAAAGAAGTAATAATAAAGGTAATATCCAGAATGATCTTGTTAGATGTTATAATAAAATAAAAATATGAACTTAATAAAATTAATGTTCAGAATGAAATTATGATAAAATTGATAACCAGAATAAAGGTAGAACCAAATTATTATCCAGAATGCCTGTTATAAATTGTATAAAGTGTTATTATTGTATATATTTTTTCCTTTTAAATTTCTTAATATAACAAGTGATTCCAGACTTTTGAACAGTAGTGTATGAGAGCAAAAAATTGATGCTAAAAAGGAGCTGAAGGAGAGAAGGAAGATTAAAGTGAAGGTTACAGGGTGAGCAGGGTGAAGCAGAGCGCTCACAGCAGAGGGAAAAGTGGGAAAAAAGAAAAAGAGAAAGAAAAATAAACCGTAGTCTGAAATGAAGCCTGAAAGGGTTGTAAAGATCCATCAAATTAAAATGCAAAGTTATTGAAATGCAAGAAGAGAAGGAGGGAAAAAGCAGACAGCGTTAGCAAAGATGCACAGATTGAACAATTCAAATGCATATTTATGATTTATGCAGATTTCAGTGCTCAGATCCATGAAAAAAAAAAAAGACCTGTCAGTTTCACACTGTGACCTTCGCTGAGGAGGTGTTTCCTGACTGAGGCTTTAAACAGCCGTCATTAGAAAAACTGGCATTTAAAGGTGAAAGAAGTCTGACGACATACACGGCCTGTCAGAGTGACCGTGACTCTGACATAAAAGAGACAAGCAGTGACTGACCCCAGATCAGCCTTCACTGGAAATAGCCAAAGAACTGTATGTGCTCTCGCATTGATTCAGGGGGCAGCAGGAGTACTGGATGATGGATTAAACTGTTCTGCTGCCCATGTGCTTGTTTGTCTTAATTCTAAATAGTTGCTGAAAAAACAGGATTTTCACTCAGGAAGATAGAAAAAACTATTTCACAGAAACTCTGATGTTTTTCTTCTGCTAACTGTTCATTGTTATTGTGGTACTGGTCTTTGCAACACTGTTGCAATAATGGTCTTTCCTTCTATGGTACCACAGAAGGCTACAATATGCCGATGAGTCCTCAAACCAATCACAGTGCTTTTACTGTCTGCTGTGAGTGTCCTGACCAATCAGAGCGTTTTGAGGAATCAAGGTTTTCAAGCAGTCCAACAAAAGTCAATTATTTACTGTCCTATAACCATGACACATTACTGATTCACCAATGCATTCATAATATGCAGAAATTGAAATTGCAGTTGTTGCAACATCTAATATACTGTTTTTAGATTATGCAGCAAGTACAGCAGAACGATTTGGGGAAAATGTGATTTTTATGACCCACTGCAACTACAATTTAAATTGCAATTATTTTCTATAAATTAAGCTGTTTTTTTGCTGAGACCACCAGCATATCCACTTCTATGGGCTTGAGTGTTGAACACTTTCATTTTGAAATTTTGAAAATGCACATATTTGTTACCAAATTGTACAAATAATAACAGAAAATCAAACACAACTTTAATTTCTATTACTGTTAAACTTTATCACCTGTCTGTAAACCATTTTGAGCAACTGGTATGAAAAGTGTTCTATAAATGATTGTTGATATTACTGTTGTTATTATTATTATGGGTGTTTGGTTTGCTTTTGATTGGTTTTACTCATCTACAAGCAGCTTACAAAGTCTGTGCTATTAGATTAAATGAAATCTGTTGAGAGAACTTTAATGATAATATAGGCTATAAACCTGCAGCTCTTGCAATCTGAAAACTTCTTTAAGTAGCAATTTCAATATTATAATGATTAATCTTTCAGCCGTAGCAGCTAGTGTGTGTGTGTGTGTGTGTGTGTGTGTGTGTGTTTCTTGGGGTGGGGAAATAATAATCGACTCTTTCATGCATTACGATTCTCTTGTGAAAGATTCTATATCGATTCACAAAACATCATATTCGATTTTTCCTGCGTTCTGGTCTCCGTTTACGGTTCCGTCGAAGGCAGACAGAGACAGTACAAATTGGATGCTTTAGCACAGCCCGGTCACAAAACAAGAAAGGCCTGAAACCACAGTAAACACCACCCTATGTAAGAACGCAGCTTTGTACCAACCACCTCATCACAATGCCAATATGCTAAAAGGCTAATCCAGTAATATTCAGAGCTTTGCTTTAAGAAATGATTTACTGCAACATGTTAGCTGAATGTCTTTTACAAGCTTCAAATGTTCCCATTTAGGCTAAAACTGATGTAACTTGTATTAAAAAAGCCTGGGTAAGTCAAAGATGCAGCAGCATCAGCTTGGTGCTAATGAGTGAAAGCAGTGTTATTTGGTTAAAAAGCCTACTTTTAAAATAGTTTCTGCATTACGCACAGCAATATATGCGCATGCACACGATTAAATGACAACAAAATGTAAAAAGCTTATGAAATGACAAAGACCTTGTGCTTTATTTTATATTTGGACATCTGTTTTAGCTTATGACCTAGATGTGCTCTATAGTAGGGGATCCTGAGTCTATTCTTCTTGTTCTAATGAAATATTTAGTACTTAACTTAACATTTACTTAACATTTCTGCCAAAAAATAAACGCTATGAGCTACACTGTATACATCACACGAATAACCAAAGGATAAAATCAATTTTTTCAACTATTTTTCAAAATAGTTCAAAGCTATTAGATGAAACAGGCCTACAGACGTGGAGTGTGCGTACATTCAGATTCAACAACGCAAGCATTACTTGTTAATGACAAAAACAAGATGACTCTGCACAACGTAGGCGACAGAAATCACAAACCGAGATGCATCGAGAACCTTTAGTACTGAATCACGATGTGTGTCGAGATTCCCACCTCCACTGTTTAGAGCTGACTCCTCCCCTGCATTACTGTGCTAATGTATACCTCTAATACAGCACTTCATAGTACAGCAGCTTACACAGATGGACTATTATTCATCTGCTGCTGTCTGGTGTCATTAGTCACGAGTCTTTATGAAAGAAAGATTATGAAAGAATACTTTAAACTGTCAAACAGCTAATGCTGTTTATTGCTCTTGAGTGTTGATTAGTTAAGGGGATTGAGGATCCGTTCATAATCGCTCATTTGTAGTTTATTATGGACAGTGCAGGCACGCTCAAAAACTGAGAAGCCCATAAGTGGATCTATGTGAATGTCCTGAGTGAGCACTGGTGCATCGTGGGTAACGTAGTTCATTAAGTACTCACGGGAAGTGGGCCGAGGTCACCAGGGTCCAGTGGTCCTTTAGTCCTCATGTGAACAGGGTACTTCAAACGAGGATCCTCCTGAGAGAGGGAGAGAGGGAGAGAGAGAGAGAGAGAGAAGAGAGAGAGAGAGAAAGAGAAAAAGAGAGAGAGAAAGAAAGAGAGAGAGGGGGAGGGAGGGAGAGGGACAGGGAGAAAGTGTAAGAAAGAGGGAGAATGAAAAGAGAAATGGGGGGAGAGAGAGAGAGAGAGGTTAACTGACGCAATCCCAAGATGCCCCCAGCCTTTACTCTCATTCAATAGAAAACATTCACTGCCCAATCCCACGATGCACTGCTTCTCCCCAAAGGCCCAGAATACAGGGGCAATTGTGTCCTACAGAATGCACTGTCTGGGGGGGAAAAGGCTGCTTAATTCAAGCTTAAACTAAAAAGTCCTGATTTCTGATAGAAAATCTTTATTTAAACACACGCAGAGTCTGTTTCTATGTTACGACCCAATTATGTACAAACTGTAATGCCAAATACAGCAAATATTCATGAACAAACACATTTTTTCTACGATAATGCATATGGTAAGCATCAACTTCATGAGATTAAAAAAAAGACTACATTTTTCATCTAGTCAATAAAAAGCACTGCAAACTCAACAGACCTCCAGGACAAAGACGGCATCTGTGTGGAACAGAGTGTAACAAAGACGGGTTTGTATGAGGGGAAAGAGAGCAGAAGAGGAGGGGAGGACAGGAGGAGGAGAATAAACAGCTTCAGTACCACAGTCAAACAGCAGGGGGCACACTAACGCCACAGTGAAACACCTCCGCTAATAGGGTGTTCCCCTGGTGACTGGGCGTGCAGGTAGAAGTAAGGTTAAGGGTGTGCCTGCGTGTGCCAACTTTTAGAACAGAAAAAAACAAACACATTCACTACCTGAGAGGAATCCATGGCTGAGGGAATAAAAGGCCTTTGAGAGACGGCAGAATCGTTTTTCTCTTCAGATACCAGTACAGAAACCTCGAATATCGACTGATCCGTTTTTCTGTTCTTTAAAAACTACTTTTAAAGGGCCATTATTCTACATTTTCATTGTACTTTATTTCTTTCCCTGAAGCTCACTTACGACACGTGTGGTTTTATGGACCAAAAGCAGCCATAATTCATTTGTACATGAGCACATTATCCCTTACAGTTAAACAGGCTGTTTTTGAGACTGGTATATGTAAATGAGCTCTGATCTGATTGGCTGTGCCTCATTCAAAAAGCAGTCCAGGCTGAAACATTCCTTAAAGCTTCATTGCGAACAAGGATAATGTACAGTACACCGAATAAGCAAATAAATAGGTTGGATTTTGTGACATCATAAAAACATTTAATTCAAAAACAGTCTGTATGGACCGGGTAGTAAATGCCGCATTTTAAAACTTTAGCAGAATTTACATGCTACATCAAACATTATTTAAAATATATGTGTATATGTATTTCCATGATATAGATTGTTTAAATGAAGCCACCGCGACCCAGAAGGATAAGCGGTTTAGATGATGTATGTATGTATGTATGTAAATGAAGCACTTCACTGAGCATGGCTCTCTAAAAGTACTACTCAAATGCTCCACTATATAATCGAATCTTATTATACAAAACCAAACCATCATAATATGTTAGACACTCTGAATGGAATGTATAAGTATGAAGTATAAAGTATGCATTGCAAATAAAATCTCTTTAAACAAAAATAAACAAATTTCTTTCTATCTATAATAACTATAACAATAACGATACATTACAGAATCTTATGGAATCATTCTTTTATTCCTCTATCTGACCCAGCATGTTCTGCGGGTACAACAGCTTCATAGCGTCACTGTGTGTCAGATGGGTGCCAGTTTAAATCAGTTAAAAGAGCCCATATCCTATGTTTTTCATGCATTTTATTCTCCCTCTGAGGTCCACGTACAAAATTTGTGAGGTTTTATGTACCAAAATCAACCGTAATTCATTTTTACATGACATTTTCCAACCTTTCTTTTTCCCTTTGAATTCAACAGGCTGTTTCTGTTACTGTGCATTTAAGACTGAGATATGTAAATGATCTCTGTACTGATTGGTTGGCCTGGTTTGAGTCTCATTTAAAAAGTAGTCTATGCTGAAACACTCCTTATAACTTCAAGCTGTGAGTTGAATAGGTGTATATATGTAAATGCATTTGTTTTTGTGACATCATAAAATGAATTAAAAACAGGCTGTTTTTGCAAATATGGACTTTTTGGACTGGGGGAGAACGGCATGACTTGAAACCTCTTGTTGCTGTACTACATCAAACTCTTATTTTGAAAAAGCTAGGAAAATGTTTTTCCATTACATGTGCCCTTTAATTAAAGCCCCTCACATTACAAGGTTCTTCACAAGTATTGCTCAAACACTCTACTATCCTACAGGGAGAAACACACAGCCAGCAACATGACCTCCAAAACTACAGCATTTTTTTATAAACGCTTTTAAAAATAAAATTAAAAACAATCAAAGGGGGATATTTTGGAGGAGGGTAATGTAAATCAGGCTACTTAAAGTAAAGAAACTGTAGTTGTACTATAACACATATACATGGCAAAAATAACTTTTTTTATATGCAAATATAACTAACAACAATGCTATGTTACAGAATCTGAAAGGATTCATTCTTTTATTCCTCTGTAATCTGACCCAGCATGTTCTGCTGGTTTAACAGCTGGATAGCGTCACTGGGTATCAGGGGGGTGTCTTCTTTAGGCTTTGAGGGAAAGTGTGAGTAAATCAGTTAAAGGGCCCATATCCTATTTCTGCCATTATCTGTTTTTCCCTCTGAGGTCCACTTAAGACGTTTGTATTGTTTTATGTACCAAAATCAATCATAATTCATTTTTACATCACCATTTTACAACTTCTCTTTACCTCTTAGTATTAAACAGGCTGTTTTACCTTTAACACTGTATATGTAAACGAGCTCTGCTCTGATTGACTGCGCCTCTTTCAAAATTCACCCCTTATAACTTCAGCACAAATGGGCGGAGCTAAACTGCTGTAGGCTGAATAGGCACATAGAAGCAGATGCAGTTGTGTTTGTGACATCAAAAAAACAAAATTACAACAGGCTGCTTCTGCGAATATGCACTCCACAGATTAGGCAGTGAATCATGTTTTTTGAAACACTAACAACTTTAAAGTTTGAAAAACATTTCCAATGTTTACATTTTTTTTATTTAAGGGGTGAATTTCCATGACTCCTTGATTCCCTCTGAGCAGCTGACTTACTGAACTGCAACTGGCAGGACAAGTAAAATGAACAATCCACCGATAATGGACTGATAAAGACCTGGGCAATGGCTTAAGAATCTTATGGAATCATTCTTTTATTCCTCTATCTGACCCAGCATGTTCTGCGGGTACAGCTTCATAGCGTCACTGTGTGTCAGATGGGTGCCAGTTTAAATCAGTTAAAAGAGCCCATATCCTATGTTTTTCATGCATTTTATTCTCCCTCTGAGGTCCACGTACAAAATTTGTGAGGTTTTATGTACCAAAATCAACCGTAATTCATTTTTACATGACATTTTCCAACCTTTCTTTTTCCCTTTGAATTCAACAGGCTGTTTCTGTTACTGTGCATTTAAGACTGAGATATGTAAATGATCTCTGTACTGATTGGTTGGCCTGGTTTGAGTCTCATTTAAAAAGTAGTCTATGCTGAAACAATCCTTATAACTTCAAGCTGTGAGTTGAATAGGTGTATATATGTAAATGCATTTGTTTTTGTGACATCATAAAATGAATTAAAAACAGGCTGTTTTTGCAAATATGGACTTTTTGGACTGGGGGAGAACGGCATGACTTGAAACCTCTTGTTGCTGTACTACATCAAACTCTTATTTTGAAAAAGCTAGGAAAATGTTTTTCCATTACATCTGCCCTTTAATTAAAGCCCCTCACATTACAAGGTTCTTCACAAGTATTGCTCAAACACTCTACTATCCTACAGGGAGAAACACACAGCCAGCAACATGACCTCCAAAACTACAGCATTTTTTTTATAAACGCTTTTAAAAATAAAATTAAAAACAATCAAAGGGGGATATTTTGGAGGAGGGTAATGTAAATCAGGCTACTTAAAGTAAAGAAACTGTAGTTGTACTATAACACATATACATGGCAAAAATAACTTTTTTTATATGCAAATATAACTAACAACAATGCTATGTTACAGAATCTGAAAGGATTCATTCTTTTATTCCTCTGTAATCTGACCCAGCATGTTCTGCTGGTTTAACAGCTGGATAGCGTCACTGGGTATCAGGGGGGTGTCTTCTTTAGGCTTTGAGGGAAAGTGTGAGTAAATCAGTTAAAGGGCCCGTATCCTATTTCTGCCGTTATCTGTTTTTCCCTCTGAGGTCCACTTAAGACGTTTGTATTGTTTTATGTACCAAAATCAATCATAATTCATTTTTACATCACCATTTTACAACTTCTCTTTACCTCTTAGTATTAAACAGGCTGTTTTACCTTTAACACTGTATATGTAAACGAGCTCTGCTCTGATTGACTGCGCCTCTTTCAAAATTCACCCCTTATAACTTCAGCACAAATGGGCGGAGCTAAACTGCTGTAGGCTGAATAGGCACATAGAAGCAGATGCAGTTGTGTTTGTGACATCAAAAAAACAAAATTACAACAGGCTGCTTCTGCGAATATGCACTCCACAGATTAGGCAGTGAATCATGTTTTTTGAAACACTAACAACTTTAAAGTTTGAAAAACATTTCCAATGTTTACATTTTTTTTATTTAAGGGGTGAATTTCCATGACTCCTTGATTCCCTCTGAGCAGCTGACTTACTGAACTGCAACTGGCAGAACAAGTAAAATGAACAATCCACCGATAATGGACTGATAAAGACCTGGGCAATGGCTTAAGACCTTGTGTCACACTAAAATGTCAGCATCCTGACTGTAAACACCTTGTACTGAGATACAAAACATACATTCACATCATGTTACGGCAACGCTTAAGCAAAAAAATAGCCTTTCATATTTTGTAGTTTCAACAGCCATAGATGCAAACACAAGTGTGAATGAATCATTGCTTTAATACTATACTACAGTAATATTTATATTAATCATAATATCTAATTTCATGTTGTGTTAATTATACAGTGACAGCACTAAATGAATACTCTGAAGTATACAGGTTAACTTTAAATCACTACCTTACACTGTGTGTTGAGCAGCAAACACTCATACTGAAGTAGTTGAGTCTGGCTGTGCTGGCTCTTTCAGCAGTGGGTGGATTCTTTCAAAGGCTCAACAGGACTCTACCGCCGATATCTAGCATCAGTCAGTAAGTGAGGAGAAGCAGAAACAATATCTAAACTGAGGAATCACTGAGTCATTCACCTCCTACTCAGCTTTAATATCAATCTGCACACAATCTATAGCAGCCGGTTGCTATGACCCCATATTCTCCAGCAACGAAGTTCACCCACACCAACATTCTCCATAAAAACACCAGCACTGTCCAGCAAAACAGGAAGCTTCTCCAGCAAAACACCGGAATTCTTAAACAAAGTGCCCAACTTTTCCATCATAAAGCTGAACTTTTCCAATAAAATGCAGAAACACTGATATTCTTGGTCAAAACATGGACATTTTCCTACAAGCACCGACAGCCAACACCACTCATGAAACACACGCATTTTCCACCGAACACACTCTTCACTGGAACACCACCGTTCTCCACCCTCCAGCAAACAACAAATTTGTCCACCAAACACCACTCTCCACCATCATTCTCCAACACCATCATTCCCCAACCTAACGGTCTCCAACACATCCCAACATTATTCTCCAACACCATCGTTCTCCAAAAAGTGACACCAATTCCCCATAAAAAAAATTTTCTCCAACACTAACATTCTCCAACAAATATTATTATCCAAAAAGTGGCACCAACTCTCCAAAAAATACCACTATTCTCCAACACTAGCGGTCTCCAACAAATCCAAACATTCTCCAACAAACACCATCATTCTCCAAAAACTGGCACCATATCTCCAAAAAATACCACTGTTCTCCAACAAATCCCAACATTAGCCCTAATGTTCCCCAGCAAGCACCAAGGTTCCCCAGCAAGCACCAACTTTCCCCAGCAAGCACCAAGGTTCCCCAAACACAAACATTCTCTAAACACCAACGCTCTTAAGCAAACAACAGCATTCACCAACAAACACCATTGCTCGTCAACAAACACCATCACTCTTCGACCCATTCCTAGCTTTACTGTTTGCATTTCACTTCCAGAAAGAGACTAATAATTCAAATGAACCAGTGTGAATGGGGGAGAACATTCTAGAGACGCCTAACAACCACTAACAGGCATGTCATACAAACTCAGTGTTTTGAGTTTGTTTGTGTTGGGTTGTTGGGGTCAGTGTGCCTTTGGTTTAGCCAGCATGCTGGTGTGGATGTTGTGGTTTCATTGACGTGGAGGCATGGGGGAAAACAGCAACGTTGCTAGCAGGTAATGCTGGTGTATGCTGGCTGACCAGCGTGGGAATGCAAACACGCTGACTAACCCTTGAAAAAACAAAAAAACAGGCAGCAACGGCTTTCTTTACATGTGGTAAACACCCTCAGTGGAGTCTGGTAATGGAAAACACTGATCGTAATGATTTTAGAGGACGGTCATTATCATTACACTGCCAGCCTCTTTAAAGCCCTTTTCCAATAAGGCTTATCAGGATTTCTTCACAACCTCCTAGCAGACATAATTTCCTGCTTTCAAAACCCACAAACAAACTAGTAAACAAACAAACACAGAGGAATATTGCTTTGTCTGGCTATTAGCTTGATGCCGAGGCGTGGTTTACTGCATTTGTTTTTATTAGCTGTGTAGCCTTTAGCATGCTAACAAGAAGGCTATTAGAGTAAAGTGATCAAATTGTATCAGCAGTCATGTATTAGTGATGGAGCTGCAACCTAAAGGCCAGCAAAACTAATGTTATGGTTTTTGAAATATTATGCATTTTCAAGTACTTTACTTATGAACAGCTTTGTCTGCCATTATCTGTCTTGGATATCTTGGATGAGGGAGATAATTCATGTGAATGTGAGGGGTCAAAATGCTGTAGGCTTAATAGGTGGATAAATGCAGTGGTTTTCGTGACATCACAAACACAATGAATTTAAAACAGGCTGTTTTTTCAGCCCAACTTCCATATACGGACTGATTATTAATCATAGTTAATCACATTATGCAGTTAATCAAGATTATTGCATTTGTCTTGTTGACCCAAAAGAATTTTTTCATTTTTTATCCACTTCCCACTTTACTATTACTTTTGTTAGTTTGCTGCTCATTGATCCACAGGTTTCTCACAAGCACTGTCCAGTGTAGTCTGATTAATGTGCTGCTTTAAAAGCCTTTTAAAACATATTGAGAAGGACTGAGAGGACTACAATGATGGATTCAAGCCAACACAGAGCATGCGAGCAGCTGGGCTTCAGCCTAGAATTACTATAGATGTCTTGAACATTAAACTAACAAATTATATGAAAAGGAGTGACGTTAATTGACTGTGAAAATGTGTTAACTTTGGCAACCCTAGTAGAAACCGTAACAATGCTTACATGTGATGCAGATATTCAAAAACAGCGAGGAAGTTTTGGTGATACAGGCTCCTGCCCTTCCCTAATGTAGACCTTTGTGTGCATTTCTCTCTCTGCGTACGCATGTGCTTCCAAGGTGCTCTTACCCAGGTGGTGGTCCTGCTGTTGTGGTCGATGAAGAAGGGTCTGCCATTAGGGGCGATCCTCATCTCCCAGCCGGGGGGCAAGAAGCTCTGTGTGGTTTTGTGTTGGGATTTGGGGGAGCTGTAGGGTGAGGGCTGAGGTGACTGAGGGTTTGACAGTGTGTCCTTCACTGCCCGCTGCAGCTGGATGTTATTGGCTCCCTGGAAGAAAAAGCAGCAGTTATTAGCTCTCCAGTATATAAAGCATGCTTTGTTTTTTTCCACAGTGTAAATGTATTAGCATTCTCCCAAATGACATTATCACTGGCTAAGCTCCCATTAGCTCTCAAGCTCCAATTTCCTAGATTGGAGTAAGGTCTAAAAATCCGATTAAGAAATCCAATAAAGAGAGCTGGATTTTAGCTAAGTAATCAGATTTCTCAGTGCATGTAAACTCACTCTGATTTCTTTCGGATTTCTCAGTCTGCACATGTGCGAAAACAGACAGCACCGTAAATAAGCAAGCGGCGTTGCCGTGAGACGCAGCAAAACACTTACGGAGTGACACTGAAACTGACTACATGCTTGACGAAATGAAGGATTTAAATATTCATCTTCTAGATGATGTATGTTCATATTTTCAGGTAAAGTGGCGTAATTTTTATTTATTTATTTTTAAAGTCATGGCATGAAGTTTGAGTTTTACATTACATTCTTCTGTGGGTTTATTGGTTGGTTGTAAAGCAGAAATCTGATTATTGTCTGACTCATGTAGACCCAGAGTTTCACAGTATTTGATAACTTAAGTGCATGTAAGCTAATAAAGTGATGAGACGGCCTTTGAGATGGCATTGGAGCTCTGTCAAGGGGCAATAAAGAGGCTCGTTGGTGGAAGAGGACTTGTTGAAACCAGCATTTAGAACATCATACAGCGAGAGAAACAAGATACAAATAACAAATGTAATAACGGTGATAAAACCCGATTGAACGTTAAATGCAAAGCTGTCCCAACTTTAACAATCTACAGCCTACAGATCAGTGAACTGTGACTATAAATGACTGTAGCTATAAAACCAGAATTATAATTAAAATTGGACTTTAATTGGTATAGAACCACTGTGTGAAGGTTCTTTAAATCTAAAAAAAACGATCTTCTGGCTATCTCACCTCATTTACAAATGTGGTTCTTCAAAGAACCATCTGCTGAATTGATGGTTCTATAAAGAACCACTTTCGTAAACAATGTCTGAGTGCAAAGAATCTTTTAAAGAACCTCCATATAACACAAAAGTTCTATACTAATTAAGAGTTCACAAAGATACACAGACTTATTTTGCGAAATGCCTTTACATGATTCAGATAAAGGTATCAAATGGAACCAATAAGGATTCTTTGACTCAATACCATAGAAGAACCACTTTTGGTTCCCTAAAGAAGTTTTCAATGGATGGCGAACCGAGACTAGAAATGACTGTGGCTATAAAACCGGAATTATAATTAAAAATTCTTTTCATAATTAAAGGTTCTTGGCTTGGCCTTAAATCTTAAAAATGATCTTCTCACTTTCACATCTCATTTACAAATACGGTTCTTTAAAGAACCATCCACTGAAAGGTTCTCTTTCGGGAACCAAAAGTGGTTCTTTATTGGCATCACTCCAAAAAACCCTTTTGTGGCAAATCTTTGAGTGTAGACGTCACACAAACTGTCCTTTGTGGTTACATCATCTAGACTGTACCAACATTAAGAGCTGATACATTTTGCATTATGTTATGTGGGTTCCTTCATTAAGTAGGACTTAATATCTACCTAATCTTATTTTATGCAATTATGTCTTTAATGAGGGGTATTAAAAAAAAGGAACGCCTCACATCAGTAAGTGCTGTCGGTTATGTAACAGAGGCAGGACCTTCTTAGCGACTTTTTTAATCCTGACAGCGTTTTTAATTACCACATGAATCAGAGGATTTCACCTCCATTCGCTCCTGCAGTCTTTTCCTCCAGCTCTCACCTGCCCTTCCTCTCGCACGTTCTCTCTCTCTCTCTCTCTCTCTCTCTCTCTCTCCAGTTCTCTGACACATTCTTCTGCTTTTTCTCTCTCTAATTATGCTCTCGCTCTCATTTTCTCTCAGGCTCCATCTCGCTTCCCCACCTTGTTCACCAGCTAATGCTCTTGCGGTCTTTCCATCATGTGTTTTCTGGTACTACTCTAATTAATCCACTCAGGCCCACCATGATAAGTAAAACACATTAGCAGGCACCTTTCATTCGGCCCGTTCTCCACCACTTTCCTGTAAAACCCATTTACTCCTCAAATACCTCATCAAACGGCTGAGCACTTCACAAAGACTTTTCTTGCAAACTGCCTTTAAATGATCTGAAATAAAGGTGCCAAATGGAACCATAAGGGTTCTTTGATGCAATGCCATAGAAGAACCACTTCTGTTTCCCTAAAACTTTCCAATGGATGGTTCTATTAGATGATGTAAATGATGTCTGAGTGCGAAGAACCATTTAAAGAACCTCCACATAATATAAATGTTCTATAACAATTAAAGGTTCTCAAAGAAACACAGCCTTTTGTTCTTGCAAACTGCCTTTACATGATTCAAATAAAGGTACCAAAAGCCATTACTTGTTGGCTACATCAGCCTCGTAGCTCCAATGCAAAACTGAAGAAGCAAATTACAGACACCAAACATGTCTCGGCTGACTGACTGTATTCGAGATAAAGAGAACATTGTACACATGACTTTTTTCCTAAACTATCAATTAATACAGCAAGCAAAGCAACGTTCAATAAGACGGTGATACTGGTGATGAAAAAACAGAATTTCCCTCAAACTGGACTTAGCAGCTTGAAGGAGAACGCGTCTGAAAGGGTCAAATAAAAAGGAAAGTATGATCTTTCAGTGGAGTGGAGAAGAGAAATCCTGGCAGGCTCTCAGCACCAGCAAATGGCCAAGCAGCACTGATGGCAGGGAGCAGGTTTCACACAGCGTCAGCTCATACCTGCTGCCAAAATGGGAAAAACCCTCCACACACACGCGCACAAGTGTGCAAACACACACGCAGCGATGAAGGCATCAAACCCGATACGCACAACAGCTGCAAAAGCCGCTTCAGCAGAGTGATGCAAGATTTCAACATCGCATGTGAGGTCGCAACCTCCAGATGACTCGTACACCATGGAGATTTTTTTGGGCCAACGATGACTTTCGCCACTGCTGAACACTGAGGGGTGGAATAAGGGGGGAAAAAATGGGCTAAAAAGTACAAAAATAGCCGCCTTCTTTTGTGTTGGTCATCTTTGCGCCTCCCTAGCACACTAAATCTTTCACGAGTAGCAGAGTAGCTGGGATAGCCGAGTGGTTTTAAAAGAGGGAAAGAAGGGAGAGAAGGGAAAAAGAGCAAGGAAAAATGGAGAAATGGGAAGGAAGAAGATATCTGGGGCAAGGCGGGGTTTTGCAAATCTCTACTTGGGACTGCTTTTGTTGCCTGATCCATGCTCTGCCCACTAATGCATTATTCCAGAGCCTCTGTTATGAGTTTGGGAAACAAGGCAAAAACCTAATGGGACATCAAAGCAAACAGTTCTTGTCAAAATAGGAACATCAGGAATCAATTTAAATTTTAAATTTATTTTGTATGCATTTAAGAAAACATGCCTGAAAAAACACAGTTTATAAACTGCAAAAACACACAGTTTATAAATATATATATATATATATATATATATATATATATATATATATATATATATATATATATCTGCCCTTTCAGCTACAGCAGTTTATTTTTGCCCATTCACACTGAAGTTATGCATTGTTTTCCAGCCTGGACTGCTTAAATGAGGCACAGTACAGGGCAGCCAATCAGAACAGAGCTCGTTTACATATCAGTCCCAAAGGCATATTAACCAAAAATAGGGATAAAGAGAGGTTGGAAAACAGTCATGTAAAAAAAATTATGTCTATTTTTGCAAAATAAAACCACAGAAACTTTATTAGGGGAATTCAGATAAAAAATAAAATCCAAGAAGAATGAAGAATATGAGTGTCCACTGAAAATTAATTATCCAAAATTTATCGCCCATTAAATTTTTGCGCAAGGCTTCAACTTCAGGGAATTTTAGACTCCTTCATTTACATATAGACATAGAAATACCCACAAGCGGCAAGCAGAGAAATCCAGTGAGGCATAATACAGCAAAGACTGAACGACTTCAGTCATGGTAAACTTATGTTAATTTAGCCAGCTAGCAAAGCTAAAGCAGCTAAAACTGGTGAACTTTCTGCATTTTTTTAGTCTCCTTAAAACCTCAGTGACACAACATTTATCCTAACTGTGTGACATTTCACAAGCATAAAATACATACACACACACATATATATATATATATGTGTGTGATATCCATATTCTTTTTCGGACAGTTGAAGGCAATTCAGTTACAGATAACTGAAAGGTTTGGAGCAGACGGGTCAGGAAACTGCCTGCAGCTTGAATTGGGTTTTGGAGCACCAGGCCTTTTGCATCACAGCCATCCACAAAAAGAAATGGAAGAATAAAAGCAAGTGCAGCTGGTGGGTTAGTGGCTTGAAATAAGGGATGATTCATCTTTATTTTCTTACTGACCCGCAGCACATGGATCTGTGTTCAAGAGTTTGAGTGGAAGCCCACTAAGAAAATCGTACAAAGCAGTTTCTCTCTGAGACAAAACTAAGACACTGTGTGTGTATGTGTGCACCGCGATCTATGTTATAGAAAAAAAAATAAATAAATAAATAAATAAATATATATATATATATATATATATATATATATATACAGTCATATGCCAAAGTTTGAACACCTCTAGTCAAACTGTCTCAGAAAATCAACAAAACAAGTTAACCCATCCTCTACAGAGGACAAACCTAATCAACCTCACCCCAGTTATTATTTGAACGGGGCGCCTAAACTCGCACACAGCTGTACGTGTGCGATTGCGTACATTGTATGACTCACAAGAATAATGAACAACTGTTATTAGCAATTAAACAGGGAATAGAAAGTATTTAATTAAATGAAGGCGGTTAGGTGGACAGCCATATGGACAGACAGCAGGACAGACAAACCTGACGGAGAGATGGAGGGAAGAAGCGAAAGAGATTAGAAGGAAGAAGACAGGCAAGAAAAAGGATGGACATTAAGGCTGCATGATATGGACAAAATATTAGTGCTGTGTGATTATATTGCTATATATTGTAATTGTGATACATCTTAACATATTAAAATTCTGTTTAATCAATAATATTGTACAGCTGATCAAAATAATCCACTCAAATACTTTGATTCATCAAAACACACAACGAGCTGGATTGGTCACAGCACCCAGTAAAAACATTGTGGTTGGTTAGTGGCTCATTTGCATACTGCAGCTTTATGCAATAGTAGTACTGCAAAGGTCAGTTTCACTATAAAGATTCCAAAAAACATATTTTGTGCAGCCTAAATGTACAGTTGAATGGATGGACAGATGTTGGACAGATGATGGACAGGTAGCTTTTGGACACAGGGAGTCGATGTTCTCACCTCTAGGGGGGTGGAGAGGGTGACGGTGGGGGAACTGAGGCTACGGGGACGCCGCATCTGGGGTTCGCTCAGATGGCCGCTGGTTGAGGGGGTGGAGGGGGTAACGCCACCTGTTGCTCCGGCAGAGGAACTGGCTCCGTCTTCAGTGTGCTGACACAAAAAGAGAGGGATTAGCACGAAAAAAGAGGGATTAGCAGATGCTAATTAACATGGGAGCGCTCCAGTGGACAGGAGGGATTGGGCTAATTAACTTCCACACCTCAAATCTCGAATGGGATCACAGTGGACAACAGTTTGTAGTCAACTGTGTAGTCAATTTGCATCAAAGCACTTTCATTCAGTTCCGTTTCATACACTGCCTATCTGAAGTGTGCAGACAGTTTGTCTTTTATTGAAATTGCTCACATTGCTCACGTTTTTCCAGCTCTGAGAGCAGCACCACGTACGTTTTTTCTGTTTGTGGTTAGGAATATCATCAAGGATCATATTAAACAGAACTATGAAGAACATTCTCAGTATCATGCAGTTTATAGCACTGTATGAAACATAACATGTGCAGTGTAACACTCAAACAACAACACCACCATGTTTCACCTACCCCCACCTATAATCGCAAACACTCCGCTAGCTCTGAGACCCTTCCTGATACCACGCTTCACTTGGAAATATGTAAAAGTACAGAAGGATAATGTGCTATGAACTCCGAATTGTGCTATCTTTTCCTATAGCCATTAACCACTTTTGGCAAAGGTTTAGTTTAGTTCAGTTTAGTTTGACAATAAAAGCAACAACTGCATCTCAGCTTGTTTGTCAAGGACATCGCAATTTACATTACCAAGAAGCAGCATTCAACACGTGGCACACTCCCAAAAAGTTAAGAAGATAATCAATAAAGTACTTTAGCTATGAACCATCTTTATTTTCTTATTAAAACTAACAGCATTAGCCTTGCCAGGTGGACTATTCCATTCACAAACTCTTTTTCAGGTACTTTGGGCTCTTATTGTTAATAATTCTACGCATCACATTTTGCTTAAGCTGATCTGGTCACAGCTAGCCAGTAACGTTCTTTATAATCAAAATGCCAGTTTGACATCTTTCTGGGTGGGTAACTGACTGACTGACTGATGGACTGACGGACTGACTGACTGACTGACTGACTGACTGACTGAAGTAAATAACTAAATATATATTGCTGCTGTCAGAACAAAACCTCGTATCTCCAAAATGGTAACTTTACAGGAGAAGGAAAAAATGTAAGTCAATTTAACCAGACTTTTTTTCCCCCCAAGTAATTTTGGGCCATTTTTGTTGGTCCATTCATCATGAAATTTACACACAATGTAAAGGCAACAGACATTTCCAAATTATGTGAAAACTGAAAAACAACAAAAATGGAGATATAGGGTTTTGTTCCGACAGTAGCTGATGGACAAAAACAAAAGACTAGCTGACCCCAGACTTCTGACAGGCAGCGTGACAGGCATTTCTATTTGTTTACTCAGGCTCAGGTCAAGTCAGGTGACACCTTAAGGGGAAGAGTAAGAGAGAGAAAAAGAGCAAGGGGTTGGGGGGGGGTGTAGTAATAGAGACAGCACCCCCGGTTCTTCAGGTTGGTGGGTTGTACCTGTAGAATGGGCCGTGTCCAGGTGGTGCTGCGGTTGTTGTGGTTAACGTAATATGTTCGGCCCTTAGCGTCCTTCCTCTCCTCCCAGCCCGGCGGTAAGCCCTGGAGTGGTGGCAGCATACACTGCTGACGGAGACTGAGGCAGGGCAGAGGAAAAACACACACATACACGTATAAACAGCAGGGCAGGGGCAGAAACACACACACAGCTTCCACTGAGTCAGCTCTGGAACTGCAGACTGATGGGAGATCAGGAGGATGCGCCAAAAGTCACCACAGACACAGGGATCCAGCTTCTGCTGCTGAATGAACTGCTTGATCAGTTGGATTGATTATGAGCGTTTGATGTGGAGTATGTGATGGAGGATCGGGTGAATGCTCCAGGAAATAAAGATAACAAGCTGAAAATCAGCATTTAAAACTATACCACAGAAACTAAACGCTAAATATCAGCATCTAAAAATACAACACAGAAATTAAAAACTAAAAAAAACTTACAAAAAAAAAGACACTGAAACACTAAAATAAAAAGTTAAATAAAAAACAAAGAACAATAAAATAAGCTCACAACTAGACTGGCAAAAAGCAAGGTGGTACTGCACACATCACGTTCATGACGCAAACACTTCAAAGGGCCCATATCATGATTTTCCTCACTTTCTTTTTTATTAAAAGTTTTTCTAAACATATAATTAACTCTCCAGTCCATACGGCCCATCTAAGGAAACTAAGCTGCGAAAAACAGTCCGTTTTTTATTCATCATGCTTGTGATGTCACAGAGAACAATCCATTTGCATGTATCTGTCTATTCAGTCTACAGCAGATTAGCTCAACCTACTCACACTAAAATAAGGTGTGTTTTAGGCCAGAGTGCTTTTTGAATGAAGCACAATACAGGACAGCCAATCAGAACAGACCTCATTTAAATATACCTGTCTTAAAGACAATAACAAAAAATAGCATATTTATTTCTGAGGGATAAAAAATGGTCACGTAAAAATGAATTATAACTATTTTTGGTATATAAACCCACAAAAAACATTTCTAAATAAAATATGGGAAACTATAGGATATGGGCCCTTTAATAAACTTCCCACTAGGAATGTCTTACACGACTGGCGCCGCTGAGAAGCAGTGGCGGATACTGTACAGAATGGAAGAGAATGAAAAATGAGTGCTTTAAAATCCACCCTACCACTCCAGCATGGTGGTAACAAAAAACAGAAATAAAAAAAATGCACAATAAACGAGAGAAGTCCAATAATGAAGAACAAACATCGACACAGGATCTTTGAGGGAGCACTGGTCATATTTTCACCCTATTCCTAAACGCATAAATTCATAATAAAGCACGAAAATTTGAAAAAAAATGAAAAAAGGAAAATAATGCATAAGAGTTAAAGATGCATGGAGGAAAAGTGACTCATGGACGTAGAAGATGCGCGTGAACGTTACCAAGGAGTTCTCTACCCATTAGCATGATAACACCAAGGAACCAGGATAAATAAATAATCAAATAAAGGACAAATAAACAAAAATAATGAGAGAAAAGATACAGGTATGGAAGAATAACATACATGTGGACATTACCAAGGATGTCTCTGCCTCTTAGCATGATAGCACCAAGCAATATAACAACAAATAAAACAAAGAAACCAAAGAACACCAGAGGGAGAGAAAAGGAGAGTGTGGTAGAGGTATGGAGGAAAAGTGCACTCATGGAGGTAGAATATATACATGTGGACATTACCATGGGCTCCTCTACGCCTGTGACCGTTTGGGCTCGGGATCGTCTGGACTGGGAGCTCTGCTGGCAAACAACAGCTGGGTTACGAATGGGCCGTGAGGGGGGCAGAGGATCGTGGGGAGGGGACAGAGAGGTGGGCTGCAGATGGGTGCGGGCAGGAGGGTTTTTTCTCTTTTTAGAAAGGTTTAGAATCAAGAGGGGGTGATTTTGTGATCAGGTGTGTTTAGAGTTTGGAGTGAATTAGTGAAGTGATTGGTGTTTAACTGATCCATGCTCTGTCCAGAAATGTGCTCTTTTCTAGATACTGTTGCACTGTTGGACAAACTTAAAAGAATGTTGGCAAAAATCAACCGAATCTAATGAGAAACTGAAGCACACAACTTCTGGTCAAAATACATACATTAGAATGTGTTAAATTTAAATGATATGTTGTAAGTTTATGTATTTTAATGTTGCTAGCTAGCTTGCTTCTCTCTCTTTGTCTCTACACATAGCTGTAGGTCAAATGCTTCTGGTTAAATCACATGTTTTACTGACTTTCTAAGTAAAAACAAAGTTAATACATCCTCTACAGAGAACTCACGTAAATTTCCTGCAAATATTAGCGCACATTTTCTATTTATTGTTGAGTTTAACACAATGGAAAATAATAAAAAAATAAAATATTTGGTAAATAAACAGTAACTGTGCATGACCAATGAATGTGCAAAAGTGTAGAGGATTAACAGTTTCGTTTAAAATCAACAAAACACATAATTTGACCAGGATGCCCAAATTTTTGCATACGACTGCATATTGCGAGTACATATTGCATATTGCAAATAAACATATTGCTTACTGCAAATAAACAAAAAACAACGCTACGTCACAAACGGCAACAAAATACATATTTCAAATTATGTAACTATGTATTTTAAGTTGAGGCACAACAACTTATCATTGAGGTTTTTGCCGATGTTCTTTAAATATGTCCAAACTTGCAACAGTAGCTATGAAAGGATGCATCTCTGGGTGGAGCTGGACACCCTGATTTAAGGAATGGAGGGGTTTTGGGGGGGTGGGGGTGATCTGGTGGACAGTGCAGTGAAAGAGGTTCTGGAGGTGGGTGAGAAAATCAAGCTGATTAGACCCAAAGAGGCTTCTTGCAGGTTAAAGCACCAATAACCAGGTGAGTGATTATACTGGATTACACATACATAATGATTGGAGAATGTGAGGAGGGTGAAAAACTAGAGGATTATTTGTGATTGGTTGGATCAAACAATGCATTTGAGACAAGATCACTGCGGTCATTACGGTGAACTAGATTATTACTATATAAGGCTTGGTCTTATTAGTCATAGTGATGCACCAAAATGAAACTGGCCCAAATTCAAACCAAAACTCAGAAACTCAGCATCTTTTTAACCACTACTTCCAGTTCTGATTAGAATTAAATGATCTGTAAAAGTTTTATATCTTAAAATTTCATTTTACCACTTTGCTGTATACCCATTAAATACTAAAACATGGAAACAATGTAATATTTCTGTAAGGATTTTCAGCATTTCTTTAATTTTTTTCTTTAATCGTTTTTGACCAAAAATGGTCACATCTTATTTTAAGAATCCTGTGTAGAAGCCTTGCAGGTGCTCACCTTGTCTTTAACTTACATTCAACTGAATATCTATAAAATACAAGTGAACTTTTAAGTTGAATGTGTTATATTCTATTAAGTCTAACACGAAACCTAATCTTAAAGAGAAATTCCACCAAATGTTTAAAATTTCTGCATAATTTAAAAATTTAGATGTAAACAAATCAACTCAGAACAGTTTGATATGAAATGCTTCATTCTAAAAACTTACAGTCCAAACTGTTCTCAGTGGTGGTGATAGGAACCAGACGACTGAAGTGTTTAATGCCTCTAAAAGCTCCCTCGCAGAGACTTATTACATGGAATGGTTATGAATTCAGTGCCTCATGTCTGAGACACAGTTTCACAATAGTTTTGAGATAAGATTCCACTCATGGCAGGGAGGTACATGGAGGATGTTGAGGCAAAATAGTCTCCAAAGAATTTTTTTCAGATTTACCACTATTTTACATTACATATAAAAACTCCTATCAGTAAAAATCCACTGTAAAGGCATCTGACACAGCAAGTTTCTGTGCAATGACCCATTTCACATCAAACTGCTCTGAAAGACTGTTTACAACTTCATGAATTAATACCCTTTAATGTTCACCTAAAACCTACATCTAACCCTACTAATGGTGAGTTTCATCAGATAGTTGGTCAACCATTAAAAAGTCTGTCTGAAATCTATATACATATCATCTGTATATAATCTACAGAGGATCAGAATATAGTATGACTGAAAAATGGTGGCTGAAATTTCAGTGCATCTCTATAAGAGGATCTTGAATCCTCATGGTTATTTTGCATGGCTTGAAAACCAAAAAAATACAAGTGGCCTTTTTCTGTTCAAAATAAGGTCATATTATCTAAATGGTTAAGATTCAAAAACTGTTGCTCTTTTGCTCTATAAGAGGTTCAGCACTAGAGGAACTAGAAACGCAAACACAACAGCATTCCTTTATTTTATGAACACAAACGCACTGTATACACCCAAAACTGCAACGTAAGAAAACGTCAGAGCCTGTTCTGCAGCAGACATGCCATTCAATGGCAAGTGAAACTGACACACTGACCTATTCCAGTTGCTGCCATTAGCTTTACGAATTAAATTTATCCCAGAGAAACCAGTTTAAAGCACAGGGCTGTTTATACCATCACCTGTGATGCTGGTAAAATTACACCAGAAATCTTCCCATCACAGGAAACAGAGGATTTTCTTAATGGAGCATCACATGTTAAGTCAGCAGTACATAAACACAGCTCTGTTTTGGCCGTCTTAGCCTGCGGGCGGATATGTATTCTTATATCAGATAATGAGGGAATAACAGCAAATAAATCACTTCTGGGTGCAAGATCCACAGAGAGAGGTTCTCACCAATAACTGCAAGACTGCAGATCACAAAATTGGGCCTGAAGTAACAGGAATTAGCTAAAAATGTTTAAAAGTTAAAGCTGCCTATGGCAGACTTTTTTGGTTAAAAAAACATTACTGGATCATTCTAAATTATAGTGTACATGCAATTCAGAGTCAGGACAGATTTTGTGGGAGTTTTTTGGGACCACGTCATACGTCTTTACATATTAACATCACATACACAGACTCGAGAAGAAGGTCCAGATCGATGTTTAATTCTCAAATGCAAAATCGACATTTACACTAAACTATATGAAGAGGTGTTTTTTGGAATAATTTCACACAAACGTCTGTTAATAGTAGTAAAACCCAAAGAATAAAATAAGCTATCAGTACCAATAATAATATCAACCACTATAATTCCACATATGTGAAATACACTGTACTGAACTAGTTTACTGTGTAATGTTACACGAAAACTGTCCGAAAGAGAACTGCTTAATCACTCTACAAACCTTCTTGAAAAACCACACATCTAAAAGCATCACATACCACAGTTATGCGAGTGCCGGTTCAGGGTAGATATGTTACAGGATTCATTCTTTTTTTTCTCCTTTAATATCCCATCCAGCACTTTCTGCTGATATCAGTACCATCTCTAAGTACAACAGAAGAGTGAAAAATGAAACCTATTCCCAGATATAAAGTAATCATCTGCACCAACACTGTAAATAGTTGTTCTAATGTTTAAATGGTGGGTAATAGTTTTTGTTGGGTTTATAAGCTTTTCAAGAATAATCAGGCTGTTTGTGGTTCACTCTTTTCAGGCTTATTACAGTATCTATGATTTGGGAAAATCCTGGGACATCTCATGGGACAGCAACATACAGGCACACCACCAGTCCTAGTTCAACACAACAGCTATTTTATTATTCAAAGAATAATAAAACTGGGACAAAAAACAAACCCTGAACTACATTTCCCAGAATCCCCTCTCAGCCTTCAGAAACTCTGTCACTAGCCAATGTATCCTCAGGAGAAGCAAGACGGCAGAGATAACTACTCTAGTTGATGATAGCCAAGTCTAGAAATACACACACACACACACACACACACACACACACACACACACACACACACTCCCTAAACCGCTAATCCTTCTGGGTCGCAGGGGGTGCTGGAGCCTATCCCAGCTGTCGTCCAAAAATACAGTGAAAATATATTTCTCTGACAAACAAACATGAAGAGGAAGAAAATAAATTTCATAGAACACCTCAGGTCCTCATCAGCATCCAAGGTTGTAACAGTTAGCTCGTACCCACAGCTCAAAACAACAACTATTTCAGTTTTCACTTCAGACAAATTCCTTTAACCACCATAAAAACCCAAATAACATGCTTGACTGGGAAAAAAAACAAACCACACTACATTTCCCAGAATCCCCTCTCAGTCTTCAGAAACTCTGTCCCCCCTGTATCTTAACGACAAGTGAGATGGCGGAGATAACTACTCTAGCTGATGTTGGCTAGCGCCAGAAATACAGTGAAAAAATATCTCTCTGAAAAACGAACATGAAGAAGTCAATACCCTTCATGGAGGACGTCAAGTCCTCACCAGCATCCAACACTGTACTGGTTTGCTGTAGTGGTAACTGGTACACCTCCTACCCACAGCTCAAAACATCAACTATTTCAGTTTTCACTTTAGACAAATTCCTTTAACCACCATAAAAAACTTCAAGAATAACATGCAGGACTGGGACAAAAAACAAACAACAAACTACATTTCCCAGAATCAGTCCTCAGAAATGCTATCACTAGCAACTGCATCCTCATGAGAAATGCGAGGGCAGAGATAGCATGGCCAGCTTCGGGCTAATTAGGATATCTACGCTAATTAATATTAGCTACATTCAGAAACGCAGTGAAAATATAGTTTTCTGACAAACATGTTGGCACGTCTTTCACTGAAGAGAAAATGCCTCGCGTAGAAGACGCCGAGCCGTCATCAGCATCCAACACTGCACCAGCTAAGTGTAGCGCAAAACGATACACCTCCTACCTCCAGCTCAGTGCAACAGCTATTTCAGTTTTTGCTGTAACTTTAGACCAATTCCTATAAGCACCACAAAAATCTGAAGAATTACATGCTTGACTGGGACAAAAAACAAACACTAAACTACATTTCCCAGACTCCCCTCTCAAAAACATAACCGTTAGCCCCCGCAGACTCCCATCTCACACACAGAGCCACACACAGCCAGTCTTACCTGCTGGAGAACGACATGGCCTGATCATCTAGAGTTTCATTATAAAATGAAAAATGAAAATGAAAGTTGTAAAAAGAAGTCTCAGACACTCCTAATAGCCTGGCCCTCAGATCTAAACAAACAAACAAACAAACAAATAAATAAATAAATAAATAAATAAAGCTCTTCTTCCTCTTTAGAAAAGTATAACAGAACACTGGCGGTTTGTACAACAGCTGGCAAAGTCAAACGTACAAAAATGCAGACCAGCCGGCCGCGAGGCTTCTCAAACACACTGACTCACACACAGCGATTACACTGACGCTCCACCTCTGACAGGCCGGACCTCGCTGCTCCGACTCCACAGCTAAATATACACCTATAAACAACTCAGACACACGGAGCCCCACAGCCACTCCGCTCTGTTTCCACACAACAGAGGAGAGCTGAAAATACAGGTATAAGAGGCTGATCTCAGATCAGAGCGCAGCACAGCACTGGCATGTGCGGGATGCCACGCTCCTGACACTGTGGCTCAGGCATGCGCTGGTTCATGGCCAATGAGCAACGATGAAAACGGACACAAATCTCATTTTAAACCCTCAAGTCATCATACAGTTATGGATGAGGATGGGCCTCGCTTCTTGTCTACACACTGCAATGTCCAAAAACACGTTTTTTTTTTTGTTGTTGTTGTTGTTTAATGAAGATGTGCACACTGCCATCAACAGTCTCCCAGCACTGGCCTGTTTCTCCGAGCACCACAGTGGACCACTCTGCATTTTCCTATTACTGCCTTAAAGTAAACCTAGAACCAGACCATAAACAACGATGTGGCTTTACGTTCATACTAAGAAAGATAGACAATCTAAAATCATTAAGATAAACAGACAAATGCTAACGGTCTCTTACCTCAGCTTATATTATTAGCCTGTAGCGACAGGTTGCCCGAGTCAGCCCTTTGAGTCGGTGATCACGCTGAGGAGCTAATTTATTTATCTGGTAAATTAAGATAAAACAAATGGGTAAATCTTACGTTACTGCTGAAAATTACAGGACCCTGCTCCTGGTTCTCTTTGGAACATTCTGGCTCCCCCTCATTGCCCCCCAAACTAGTGCTTGTTGTGTTACTTTGGCTCTGGTTTTGTTCTTGCTGGTTTTCATGTTATTCTTGCCTTTGCTTGTTGACGACTGGTGGAAATTCATCCAGTGAAACTACTTAAAAACGTCTGATATTCTGATATATTCAATTAAAATATAAATAACAAAAAATAAAAACAATGTAATTTTTGTCAGTTAATTAGAAATCAGATTTTACTGAAAATTAAATAATAGACAATGCCCCTAATTTGGCTAATTATGGGGCTACTGAATGAAAAGCTATTAGGGAGTCAGTTCTTATTTGTGATGTGAAACCAACTGATCGGAAAGAGCCTATCAGTACTAGCCAGCTCGTAGCGAAAGACTGGGTCCAACAAATTCTTCAGACCAACAGCCAGTTTTATTGTATTAAATTTCCACAAGTAGAGTGTAAAACGAACTTTAGCTCAGTGTCTCTCAGTTCTTTCATTGTGACTCAAGCTGTGTTACTGTAGCATTTTACACTGTCTGTAACACGATGCTGTGCGTCCTGTGTGTGTTGGCTTCTTTAAATCTCATCATAAGTCTTGGCTGATCGGCTACATTTGGGCTAAGCATTAAACGGTTTAAATGTGATTTTCTTTCCAAACTGCTGCTTTAGAAACCCCCTCAACACAAACAGGAGGATGGGTGTCGCACAAATGAGTTATTTCCTGGATGGTCACATGGAGGATCCCCCTTTGGGGTAAGCAGAAACAGTGAAAAGTGGATAAACTACTGCTTTAAACTACAACAGTGGTGTTAATTCACACTCTCTCAATGAGGATTCGCCACAGAAAGTTCCCTTATGTCAAGGATTCAGACTTAATCTGTGTACAAAGTGTTCAGAACAAAAGTAATACCAAACTTAAATGTACAATCACAGGTTCATACAAGTAAAGGGCCGTCCTGCAAGTGTTTAAAAAAACTGCCTCATGACTCACGCGCTCACTTTCACCCTGCATTCTTCCGAGGCAGATATCACTCACACCAAAGCTGCAGCTAATTATACGAATACCAGGATGAATCGCTCCTGTTCGCAAACTAAACATTTAGCCACAGATTACAGGGTATTCTAGGTGTTCATTTGGAAATCACTGTCAAATGAAGTATCTTGTCATGACTCATTCAGGAGTGCGAATGAGACGAGAGGGAGTGTATTTGTTAGTGAATCACAGAGTAGGAAAGTGTGTGAGTTGATCATGCGGAGAGGAAGGGAGCAAGGAAGCGAGGAAGAAGAGGAACAGAGGAAGAAAAGCATACCATTGGAGGGGGAGGCTGGGCCTGGTCACTGACGCCATCGGTCATACTGGAGGAACGCAGTCTGGATGAGAGGAGTGACTGAGAACGAAAGAGAGAGAGAGAGAGAGGGCGAGAGAGATACTATAATTACTATAATTATGGTTAAGGTAATTGTTATCAGTGTTGTTATTAACTCTACTTTGCTATTATTGTCATTTGAATATGTTCAACAACAAACAGTTAAACTATAAAGCACTGTTCTTCAGTGCTTTGGCAAGACTGTACTTGACACATCATTTCATAGTTTCTTCCACCAGTAGCTTAGAGTAAAAGTGACTATTGTTGCTTAGCAACCAATGGAATGATACAGGAAATTATTAGTAATAAGGATAATGATTATTATAATAGCAAAACAACAGCAGCAACTATAAAAATAATAATTGTTGTTATTGTTATTATTGTTGATGTCCTCCCATTGTACCATTACGATTACTGTACCTGCTATTAACTATCTATGCTTTGGCAATATTGTGCTTGAAACAGTCACGCCAATAAAGCTGTCTTGAGTTTTATTAAAGGGGAACTCCACCGATATTTCTAAATTTATTTACATTTCTAAATAATTCAGTGGTTGAAATGTAAGCAAAGTCATTCAGAGTGGTTTGTTGTGAAATGGGTTATTTTTAGAGAAACAGACTCAGATTTCTATAGAGTGGTAGTGATAAGAACTAAGGGTCGCCATGACTACAACACAAATAAAGCCATTTTATTTACTGCCCAAAACCACCAATGAACCTACATGTCTTCTGAGTTTTTATATGTAATGTTGATGATGGTAAAATAGTGGAAGGTCTGAAAAATATGTTTTCTGGGGGACTATTTTGCCTTACAGTGTCTTTCATGTACCCCTCCGCCATGAATGGATTCAAATACATGGATCAACAAGACGTTTCAGGCCAAAACTTAATCACAAAACTATCGTAAAACAACGTCTCAGGCCTTAGGCAGCGCGTATTCATAACCATTTCATGTCATAGCGTCCTGTGAGGGAGCTTTTAGAGGTGGACGTCTGGTTCCCATCACTACCACTGTGAACAATTCTGACTCGGTAAGTTTGTCTACAATAGAGCATTTCACACCAAACTACTCTGAACAACTCTGTCTACATCTCAAACATTTAATTATGTAGAACCTTTGAAAAAATGGTGGGGTCCCCCTTTAAATTAAGTTTAATTTAATGGAATACAAAATAAATGCATCCAGGCATTGATCTGAATAATCTGAATTCAACTACATCAATTCTGGAAAGACAGAATCAATTATAATCCATTATAATACTAAGTAATAAAGTTTGTAGTCATATCATGGCTATTCTGAAATGTAAAAACTAAGAAAAAACAAAAAACTAACAAACAAAACAACTTAATCTATCATTCATATCTTACTATTGTGTAAACAGTCCCTCCAGGCACATCTGTGAGTTCGGTGTACTTTCAAAAATAATTCTAAATGGTATCAACATAAATAAAATCTATCAAATCTAAATAACTGAACTGCAGTGATGCAGTGAGTAAAATCCTGCAGACCGTAACTGTACAGAATCAAACAGGCCTGATATTTACACTAGAGGTAAATACACTGAGTTTGGAGAAAACAGGTTGCGATCTTAAGGAGAGTGAAATTTTCCTGGCAGATTCTTTCTTTCCACCCCATCCCTCCATCCCTCCGTCCCTCCTTCTCTCAGCACTGCAGCCTGTGCTAAAAGTCAGCATGAATGCACTGGAGAGCGTGAGAGAGAGAAATCATGCTAGGCCAATATTCACACTTCAGCTGAAATACAGTATAATGTGAACATTTCTCTGACAGCACAAATGTTCTGTTAGCCCGAAGACACAGTCATTACCACCAATCGCTTACGAAAGAGTTTCACAGATTAAAAACAGGCATTAATTCACTCTAAAACACCAATTATTCCATCGATTAATGAGATTATTTATCTATCCATTCAAAAACCCAACCTCTCCTATATTCTTTCACTCAACCATTCACCTCCTCTATTCTTTTATTCATCTATTCTTTAATTTGTTCATTCATTCATTCATTCAACTATCTATCCATTCATCCACCCATTCTCTCTTCTATTCATTCACTCAACCATTCATCCATCCGCCCTCTCCTACACGGCTATTAATTTATTCTTTAGTTCATTTGTTTGTTCATTCATCATCCATCCATTCATCCATTACTTCAAACATCCAATCATTCATTCGTTCATCAATTCATCTATCCTCTCCTCTATTCGTTCATTAACTGTCCATCCAGCCTCCTCACTATTCCATCCACCCAGCCTCCTTTCTATTCCCCTTTATTCATTCATTCACCCACTCATCCCCTCCTCTGTTTTTTAATTCCACCATCAATCCATCCCCTCCTTTGTTCATCCAATCATCTATCCACCCATCCTCTTCTATTCATTCACTTAACCATTCATCCATCCACCTCTCCTATTCTGCTCTATTCATTAATTCCTTAGTCATTTGTTTATTCATCCATCCAATCATCCTCCTATATTCATTCATTCATATTCCAAACATCCACTGTCCCTCTTTTCTTTCATTCATTAATCATTCATTAATGTTAATTCATTCACTCATTCATTCATCCATCCATCCTCTTATCGTTTCATTCGTTCATTCATCCTCTCTTCCATTTACTCAATCATGCATCTATCCTCTGTTCTTTAATTCATGAATCAATCAATCTATCCTCTCTTCTATTCATTCATTAATTCATTCACCCATTAATTCATATTCTCCTCCATTCATTCTTTCAACCATCCATCCTCAATTCATTCATTCATTCCTCTATTAAGTCATTCAAACCATCCCCTCCTTTGTTCATCCAACCATCTATCCTCTCCTGTATTCATTCATCCACTCATCCATTTTTCCATCCCATCGTCTACTAATCCCTCTATCCTCTCTCTCCTCACCCCGGCCGTGCTGGTTCCGGGGATTTCTCCGTTGGTGTCTGGGGTGAGCGACAGCCTCAAGCTGATTTCCTCGGAAAACTCCGGAGTGCTGTACTGGTTGTGAATGGGTGTGGCGGAGGAGGGGCCGGGTATAGCCTCGCCCATCAGGGTCGGGTCCTCTTCAGTGATCGGGTCCCACGACTGAAAGAGGAGGGGCTAATTCAACAACACGCAAAAAAACAGCAAGTACAGCGAGAGATGATTTGTTTTGGCACAAACGTGACTACATTAAATAAAAGCTGAACACAATATGAATGTTTCTCATGCACTAAAACGAAAACTCGTGGCTGAAACCAAAACCAAACTGGGTGAAAAGTAAATGTCCGGCAGGGTCAGAGCAGGAGAATAATTAAGTATACCACTGAAGCATCTGTACAATGCTATAACACACTGTCTACTGTAGACCTAAAACAAACAGAAACAGCCTTATTTTTACAGTCAAAAGTTTCAAACAGAAACTGAAGGTTTCAGAAAAAACTTCAGCAGCAAAAAAGGTCAAATTAGATGAATCCCTAATTAATATTTAAATTTAGTATAATACACAAATATAAAACCTGAGTAATGACCACAACTGTAATTGTCTCCTGAGGTTTAAGAAGCTGCACATGTAAAATATTAAGAGGTCAGACGCACATCGTCGAGGTCTCTGGGGTCGAGGTGTTCGTTCTCCAGGTCCTCGCTGATATGGCGGCGGGAGCGGAACACTCTGTGAGCTTCCTGATTAATCTGCCGTAGCTGGTTATCGTTCTCCGTTTCTGACACCACATCACTGAACCAAAGACAAGAGACAATAGCAAACCATCACAGTTAATACAGCCACTACAGCTGCACCAAATCCACCCAATACCACTGTTTATATCTAACAACTACTTACTAAGTTTGCTTCTCTAGTTTTGAACAGGAGCTAACAAGTAATGAAGGCTTATACCCACTAATTAGCATTATGGAAGCTGCATATCTAAATCCATTACACACTTGCCTCAGACATATGAATAAAGTCCAGTATCCCAAACAGACTCACTTATGTGGTTTCTGACTCTTTGACACACTGATTTATATAAAAATGGACAAAAAAAGTACTGCATAGCTAAAAACGGGTAGCAGCCATATTGATTTCTATGGCTATTTTTATGATATTGATATCATTGTTACAGTTAATACAAGGCTAATTTGTGGTTATATCCTTTCATTACTTCTTAACTACACTAGCCTTGTAGCTCCAGTGCAAAACTAAAGACGCAAACTTCAGACATGTAACTACATTTTGGGGTGTTTTTTTTTCTTAACATTTTTCATATTTTCATGCATCTTCCTTTGGTTTCTACTTCACAGAAGCTAAGGGTAATCAAACCTGCTTCTCTACCGCCCTGCTGAGCTCACCCCAACAACACAACCTGCTCTCTAAGGCATTCAGATGCTTCTGAATCAAGTATGTGATTTGGGTTGGAACAAAAGTCTGCAAAGCTCCTGACTTCCAGAAGCAGGGCTGGGCGTTTACACCAACATTTACTGGAATTCACTGTTTTCAATAATATCAAACTGCTTCTGTTGCAGTTACTTGCATGAAGTTATGTTGATATGATGCTACCACTCAACAACTTCGCAAGTTTAAAATAATCATCAGGAAGTGAGCACAGGAAGCGTACACAGCGCTGGGTCTTTTCCACTGCGTGGTGCGGTTGTTGTGGTTGACGTAGTAAGTCCGGCCGAGATTATCCACCTTCTCCTCCCAGCCTGGAGGTAAAGGAGGCAGGAGCTGCTGAGGTCTCCGTGAGCCATGATCCACAGCATCTACATCCCAACCCTGAGAGAGACAGAGAGAGATGAGAAGATGGTAATCATAAGCAGTGAAAGGTAAGTAAGACCTGTCTTAGCAGATAAAGGCATCAGCACAGGCCCAGTACAGTAATTTAACACAGCTGTTGAAAAAATGAAAAAACAAAACTTTGTATTTTCAAAACAGTGAAAAAGAAAAGATAAAATTCTTCTTCATGTTTAATGTATGTTGAGGTAGCAAGGTTTAATTCTGAATAGTAATTCTGAATAGTTTCTGGAGGTTTTGTTTGACAGATATTATTCATGTGGAAATTATGTCAAAAATATAAATTATATTTTGCACATACATAACCATAATAACAATAACTATAATAATACTACTAATAATATTTATAAATAACAATAATAAAATTATTATTATTAATAATAATAATCATCATCATCATCATCATCACCCACTACTACTATGAGAGAGAGAAAGACAGACCGAAAGAGAGTGGAGACTACTGAGAGTGTAGAGAGAACGAGCGAGAGAGAGAGTGTAGAGAGAGCGAGAGCACAAAAAAGAGAGCGAGAGAGTGAGAGAGAGAGAGAGAGAGAGAGAAGCAAAGAAAAGGAGTAATAACTCCTCACCTCTGCTTCCTCCCTTATCTCAGTGCTGTCCTCCTCCTGAGCTCCATTCTTAGGCAGGTAGGCCATCTTCAACCGTAGGTAACCCTTCACCCGAGACTTATGACTGCAGTGTACACACCCACACACACACACACACACAAACACACAAACACACAAAACATTCAACAACGGAAGGTAAACATGTTTAACAAAACAAACACATTAAAACAAACTAACGTTCCGATCTCTGGAGGCAAGATATATATGATAATGATTAAAACCTGCTGCACACTGATTACTTCAAAGATCAAATCTGTCACATTGTCAAGCCCACTGATTCCATTTAAAATGATGCTAATTTTCCCAGAAATACATACAGTTCTGTGCAAAAGTCATAGACCCCCAAGCAAATTGTTTACAACCATTTATCTGGGTGTAAGTTGTGTTTTGCCAGTAAAATGCTATAACATTTTAATAAACATAACTAAACACTGTAAACATTTCACTACACACTGTAAACAATGAGACTTCTTGTGAGCTGGTTAGAACAACATAGACTTGGTTTCTGACTTCTTGCTGCACTCTTGATTTAATTTAATGAAGTAGTGATTTGATAAATTAGACATTGGAGGAAAACCACAAATAAGACTGGGCTGCTTCTGGGAGGTTTGGAAATGGTTAACCAAACGCAAACTTACATAAAATCACGACTTATTTTATTAACGTTACCTGTATTTATTCCAGCTTTAGTCCTGTTTTTTTCATTCAACATAAAAAATACTCTTAAAAGAGTGCTACATATTTAAAGATCATTACATCATTATTTTCAGTAAAGTAGTCTTTTGCTCATCCAGCCGATCACAAGTTCCTCAAAATCACAACAACACCTTTGTTCACTGCCACAAGGTGCGAGCCTGAAGGATGAGTGTACATTCTGACAGAAAAAGCTCAGAGGCCTCAATAATCAGCAACAAACTTTAAAAGCAAACAGCAAAAGTCATTAACAGTCTTCTGACTGCAAAACAGATGTAAACTCATTAAAATCAAACAGCTCAGGTACAGTCACATGCAAAAGATTACGTGGCCCTGGTCAAATTACGTTTTGTTTATATCCTAAGCGTGTATCATATAGAATAAATAAATAAAAAATGTGAAAAGGCACATTTTATGCTTTTTTTCCCAATTTATTAATCAAATAAACAGAAACTGTGCATTAAAATCTACAGAAAAATGACATAATGGAAAAAAAATAATGTGATACAGGCCACACTGTAGGTTTTATTTTTCCCCCCAATATGTCATTTTTCTGCACATTATAGTACACAATTTCTACTTATTTGCTGAGTTTAATATATTAGAAAAACATAAAATCACAGTATGTGGCCTGTTTAAAAGTTATGGCACATTTTATATTTTAGCAGCAAATAAATAAAAATTGTACACGACAATGTGCAGAAAATATATTTGTTTGTTCTCTGTAGAGGATGTGTTTACTTATTTTCACTCAGAAAGTCAACAAAACATCACTGACCTGGGGTGTTCAAACTTTTCTTAAGACTGTACATATCAGACATCAAAACAAGAGATTTGATTACAGTTCTTTCGGAAATGATTCAGAGCATCGTGATCTTAAATTTGGTAAAATTACTGTGCTATGATTTGCAATTATTTTAAAAAAATAAAAAATAACAAAATAGTGGATGAATCAATAATAAATAAATTAATAAAACAAACAATAAAAACAATACATTTTAAAAAATGATTACAAAATTATTATTACATTTGAAAACAGCCCAAGAATTGTCTTTTGGCCCAAAAGCAAGTACAAAAAACAACTTATTTGAATATTTTTATAATCATAATCAATTCTAACAAAATTGCAGCAATTACATTGCCACTTTCAGACTGCTGCATTTTTACACCTCTAGTCATTCTTACAAATGTTTCTTGCAGTTTTGATAAGGTTATACGAGCACTGACCTTCTAGGGCGCAGCAGGAAGTCTTTAAACGTATACGGCCGCTCCATCGCTGGATCCTCTGTCTACAAACACACACAACACCTCAAAATAAACAAACAAACAAAACGACAACCAGCTCTATTACTCCATGAGTCTATAAATGTTCTAGCTGAGAACAGTGTGGACCTATTAGTCCAGAGGAGGGGGGCTTTAGACCCAATGGCCAACATCCAAGGCAGGCTTACGTAACTAACGTCTCCCGTTACATATTCCATGCAGGCCGCAGGTTGGAGCGGCCCTCAGTGAAGAGGAGCTGTCATTAGTGGCTCTGGAGGAATCGACAGAATCAGCAACTTTCCCCAGTGCCTGAGACCATAAGCAGCTGGCACAGAGAGGGGCTTTCACAACCCCCGAGTGCACAAACAGCACCTACAGGACACTGTGAGGCATCTATCAGCTTTAATGGGAGGCTGGAACTGGACAAATGAGCACTTAGGAATTTTTGAAAGGCTACGTATGGTTTCTTATTGTTCTGTTAAGTCCATTATGATTATTTGAACTTTCATGAAACTCTGATTTCTTGATAAATTGTCAAAATGATCATTTGATTACCGGTTACTAATCTAATCAAAAAATCTATCTATATATCTATTTTTCACTTACATTAGTAATCAAGTAATCTACCTAATATTTAGATGAAGAACTGAGTAATTAGCGTTTAAAATATGTCAATCAAATCAAAATGTAAGAAAAAAGATGAATCATCAAAATAGTTAGCGGATTACCTGATTCCTAATATTGCTG